TGTCTCCCAAATTCCATTGCACCGAAGAGATACTGACCATTGTCTCCCTGCTGTCCGTGGACAGCGTTCTCTACAACCCTCCTGCCCGGCGGGATGAGGTGCAGGGCATTCGGAAGAAGTTCATATCCAGTGAGGGGGACCACATTACCCTGCTGAATATCTACCGGACCTTCAAAAACATCGGTGGAAATAAGGTAAGCCTTGTCCTGTTTCTTTTCTGGTATGATAGCTCCTTCTTTTTGGCCCGTGTTGTAAGTACACGTTCTCTTTGTGGCTGAATCATCTGAAAACTCTCAAAAAAAAAAAAAAGCACCAGATTGTCATTTGCAAAATATCTGAAGACAGGGAGATTGAGAGATTCTGGCCTTTGTCTCTGCTTGTGTTTAACTTGGGCTAAATTTGAGCGTGTTAGTTAAGCCTTCAGTGATTCAATTTCATAGCTACATAGTGGATTTTTGCCCCGCCTGCCCCTAACATTCTTCACAGTAGTTTCTGCTTGTATAATATTTCAGTTCCTTGGACCAAGATGGAAAATGGGGGCATATTCTTTGATTTATTCATAAAGTCAGCAATTGTTCCATAGTGTGCATGCTTTTACTTTGCATTTTAAAGCATCCAAGCATCCAGTTTCAGCAGCCATAAACTGTTTTGCTGTAGTTGCCTCTTTTTTTTTTTTTTTTTTAATTTTTTCCTATACAAAAGTTTATACATACATTGTTATGTGACCCTACTTGTTTTCCCCATACTGTGACAGGCACTCCTCCTTTCCACCCTTGATTCCCCATGTCCATTCAACCAGCTCCTAACCCTCTGTGCTTTCCCATCTCACCTCTGGACAGAAGCTACCAGTTTAGTCTCTTGTATCTACTTCAGCTAAGAGGCACACTCCTCACAAGTATCACTTTATGTCCCATAGTCCAGTCCAATCCCTGTCTGAAGAGTTGGCCTTGGATAGTGTTTTAGTTCTGGGCTGATAGAGAATCCAGGGGCCATGCTTTCTGGGGTTCCTCCAGTCTCAGTCAGACCATTAAGTCTTGTCTTCTTTTT